AGTGGATTCTTGCTGCTTTTGGCCCCGTGTGATAAGGTCCTAAGAGATAAATGAGTGCAAATTACTTTTGCATTTTGAAGTTAGATTACAGACAAAGGGAGAAAGTGGGAGGAGAAGAGAAACTAGAAACTGGGATATTTTAAAAGCAGTTGAAAAAGTGAGATGACGGAGGATTAATGGGGATTATTCCTGCCAAATTGGAACAGTTGGAGGGTATTTGTCTGTCCCTATCCATGTATCCATGTATGGATGTGGAAGCTGGACAGTTAAGAAAGATGATAGGAAGGAAAAAATGCATTTGAGATAATGTGGTGCAGGAGGAGAGTGCTGAGGATCCCACAGACAGCCAAAAGGGCAAACAAATGGTCCTAGAGCAGATCAAGCCAGAAACCTCCCTAGAAGCCAAGATGACCAAACTGAGACTGTTGTCCTTCGGACACATCATGAGAAGAGAGGACTCTTTGGAAAAGACAATAATGCTGGGGAAGGTGGATGGAAGTAGGAAGAGAGGAAGGCCACATGCCAGATGCATGGACTCTATTAAGGAGGTCACAATGGGTATTAAGGGGTTGCAGGAATTAAGCAGAGCAGTGGAAGACAGAGGGTCTGGGAGTTGTCTCATCCACTGGGCTGCCATGAGTCGAGATTGACTTGAGGGCAGTTAACAACAACAATAACAAAATCTCTTCTCCATCTTCAAAGGAAGACTCACTCTCTTTTAATCCAGAGTGAGATCCTTGTTTCAGGCAACAGAATGGGTGGGTGGGGGTCTGAGACCCCAGCTGTCTCTGGTCACTCACATACAGGGATATTTCACTTACTTCCCAAGTTGTCAGCCACTTCTCAGTTTAGCTGAGGATCCTTCCTCCCCATCCACCCCTGAACAGAGAAGCCAACTCTGTTCTTCTCTAACACCAACCAGAAGCATCACTTCTGTTATTTTACTAGGACAGGAAAAACTGAATTTTCAAAAGATTGGTGTCAGCTCTTTCTAGGCCCAAGCCAGTGCTTTCTTAGCTTTCATCCTGATATCTCAAAAAATAGGCTTTTGGTATTCCTACAACTACAG